AGATATAAAAATTGACAGTGTGGAAGAAGGCAATGAAAGATATTATTACATTTTTTCTCCATTAAACTCTAGAGGACAAGCTGTTGTGTTGTGACTGTCACAAGTTTACTCAACCTTTGTAATGGAACGTTAGTGGGGCTGAGAGGTTGTGAAATTTACTTCTTCAACTAAATTCGCGAAAAAAATTCTATTTTTCTCTTCTCTCTTCTTCATTCATTAGATTTTTCAAAAAAAATATTGTGATATTGATACGTTTCACGTTCTTTTTGTTTATTTTTTCAATTTTTTTTCCAAAATATGTTTTTGACAAGTTATCCTCCTATTGTCTTTGGATTTGCATTGCATGCATAAGTTTATATTAAGAGAAATGATTGTAGAATTCTAAAATTTTTTGCCGGATCTGCTTTTTCAAAGTTCTGATGACTGGATTTTGATGTAGAATGTTCTAGATCAGCACTTCCTTCAGGGATAGACCACAGATCGTTGTTGTGCTCGCGGCCAGGATAGTTGCCTAGAAACCGAAATCTATGTAGTTAGTTATGAAGAAAAACGATCTTGGATTTGTTCTTTACTTCCATGCTTTTCCTCTCATTAATTATATCTTTGAAAACTACTTGATTCTCTTTTTTTTTCCTCCTGCTTTTGCCAACTGAGAACTAGCTTCACTCCACGGCTTTTACAAGACCAGCTGCCGTAAAATAACTACATTTTTTTCCGCTTCTTTTTTCTTGCTTGATTATTCTCATGAGTTCCATAAGCTTTTAAGCAGAATAGCAGATTGATGTGATTTGCCTACACTTGTCAACATCTACATATTTACATCTACGCTCTTTGATCACCAAAACTGACCGTACAAAGTCCGTACTTTGGTGAATTCAAGTGCAGGATGTGGAATTTCCTTCAAAATATAAGTTAGCACTTAACACCTGCAACATTGTGTGCTTTCACTCGTGTTTTTCCTCTTGACATAAATAGTCTAGACGTATTCTTTCTTGCTAGACGATCAAACATCACTCAGGACAACAACAACTCTGGAAAGCTGCCAAAACAAACATCAACGAATTACCCAGAATTCATGAGCACTCAAGCAGCTGATGGCACTTTTCAGCAACTCGAGATCAGGCCGCTAGAACTTTTTTTCCGTTTCTCTTTTTTTCTGAAAAATATGTGTTTTTATCTTTTGTTAGTGAAAAAACTTGAAAA